TACCATTACCGCGGCGCTGCTGTGATTGCCGCAGCTGTTCTTCCTCTTGCTGCTGTTGCTGTTGCTGTTGCTGCCGACGTTGCTGCCGCGACTGTCTTCGCTTCGGCTGCCGCTGCTTCTGCCGTGCAGACTGTGACAGCGACCCTTCCTGCTGCTGCTGCTGGTGTTGCTGCTGCCATGTTGCGCTCGTCTCGTGAACGGTGCGTGTGTCCAGGTTACCTGTGCCAACAGGCGCCGCGTCTGCCCTCGCCTTTCGTCGACCGCGCTTCTGCTTGATTCCATCTTTCCCAATTCGCCTCCCACCAGCACCAGCACCGGTAGCAGCACTCGCGCTCGCGCTGACGTGCGTGTAGCTCGCACCCATGCCATGGGCAGCCTGTCCATCCACGCCACCAACGCCAAAGCCAGCGGTTGGCTTCGTGTGCGTTGTCGTGCCCACGCTCAAAGACACACCCCGAACTTGCATGCAGGCAAACAGCACGCCCTCCTTGCGTGTTGGGCGCCGCTTCAGCGACGCTGTCCGCTCTGCCTTTGCGCGCGACTTTGGTCGCCGAGCACGCGACTGTGGACGGGGGGACCGTGGTGATGGCGGTCTGTTGTTGTCTCTTGCGTGTGAGAATGGTCTGTGGCTCTCGTGCTGCTGCTCCCGCCCATACTTTGCATGTTGCTGGTGGTTACGAGCATGGCGTGTGTGACGCGGCTTGTGGGGTGTGCCTTGGTGTTGGCTTGAGACCTTCGAATCACGGGACGATTGGCGCTGCGTCTGGCTTGCTCCGCGTGACGACCGGTGGTGGTGGTGCTCGCGGTGGTGGTGGTGGTGGTGGTAGTCGTGGCGATCGCGGCGCTGGAGGTGTTGTGGCATGTGCAGCGCACTTGCTTGCAGGCATCGAAGATTGATGATGGGCACGTGCGCCACAACCACGACGGGCCGTTGCGCCGTTTGGTTCATCTTCATCGCATCACGGCCCATGATGGTGTTCATAAGATCAAACTGAATGGTGTCTGCGTGAAGTGGCAGCGTTTGTGTAGTTGTGTGTGTGTGTGTGTGTGTGTGTGTGTGTGTGCGTATGCATGTGTCCGTGTCAATGTGTGTGTGTGTGTGTGTTCGTGTCAATGTGCGTGTGTGTGTGTGTGTGTGTGTCACTTGGTGAGGAAAAGCGTACGGACAGACATCAACGAAGCAACTCGATTGAAACAGGTCTATGCATGCCACAGACCGCCCCCACCCCTTATGCCAACTCACCGAGACAGCGGTCAAATTCCGGGTCTCCATCTGGCTGTTGCGTCACGCGCTCAATGATGCGTTCCAACGACTGCGTGGAGAGGAGAGAGAGAGAGAGAGTGTGTGTGGGTGGGGGGGGGGGTGTCAGCAAGTGACAGGAAGCGACTTGTGTCTGAAATTGGAGGACATGTCTTCGTGCATTCAAGCACACAACAAACACACAACAAACACGACAGTAACACAAACACACACGCGCGCGCGCACAAACACGCACAAACACACACACACGCGCGCGCACACGCGCACACACATAACTCACACATTCCTACAAAAAACGCACCGTCATGAGGAGTGGGCTGACGACAATTTCAACGGGTCCAACAGTAGACAGGGTGACGTGTGTTGCAGATTCATCACCAGCAGCACTGCCCTCCTGTGCGCCAACACCATCACCTCTGTGCCTCTTCTTCTCGTGCGCTGGTGCCGATGCATCTGCGCCGTTCGTGTGACCATCACCATCGTCGCAACCGTCCGCCGTCTGCGTGTGTTTGCGACTGCCTCGCTTCGGCTTCGCGTGGATGTACGGCAAACCCGGCAGCTGGCCGCGGAGGGCGCGCATGGTGAACGACGGCAGATGCCGTGCTGGTGACGACGGCACAGCTGGTGGCAACATGGGCCCACGTGTGGTGGGTGTGGTGTGGTGTGGTGTGGTGTGGGAGGAGGGTGAGTGGGAGGAGGGTGAGTGGGGAGTGTGTTGTCAGCGCAAAGTGAGGGTTGCATGGGATTGAGGAGAGAGAGTTTGCCTCGGGCAAAGTGACCAGCACAGGATTGTTGCGGCTGTTCGAGATGCACACGTGCACATACACGCGCACAAACACGCACACAAACACAAACAGAACCACACACGAACACACACACACACACACACACACACATACACGCGCACAAACACACACACACACGAACACACGTACACACACACGCGCGCGCGCGCACATGTACACATGCAAACTGTCAGACTGACCGACGTCAAAGACAGGAAGAAAATCTTCAAGTGCCAGGCGCCGCTTTCTCTTCCGTCGGCGCTTTTGTTCCCGCTTCGATGCACCTGCCACACGCTCGCTGCCATCGTTAACATCACCATCGTCACCAACACCACGTGTTGTGTCAGCACCAGTCACGGTTGCGTGCTGCTCGTCGCCCGTTGTCTGTGCACGTCTGCTCAAGCGTCGCGCTCTGCGATCATCACCACCATCGCCATCATCGCTACCATTATCGCCTTTCTCTGCCAGGGATGCAGAACGTGCGTTGCTCGCTCGTTTCACTGCCGTACCAACAGCATCGCCTGCACTGAACCTTCCGTGCACACCTGCACCATCAGCACTGCTGTCGTATGCGTGGTGGCGACCAACAACAGCGTCACCATCGCTCTTGCTTGCACGCTGCTGCTCTAGCGTGGCGGTGGTGCCGTTGACGTGACGACCACCACTGTACAGCCCTGATGCAAATTGGGGGTCGTTCAACGAGGACTGGAACATGGAGCCGTCGGTGCCACCGCTGCCAGCGCGGTCGCTCTCATCGCCGCTGCCACTACTACTGCTGCTGCTGCTGCTGCTGCTGCTGCTGCTGCTGGTACTGCTCAGGCCAGCATCGACTGGAAGTGTGGGGGGAGAAGGGCACATGCAAGAGATGTGAGGGGTGTGCGGAGCTACGCGGGCGCGGGCGCGTGTGATTGCAGGCAAGAACAGATGCATTACATGCGAGAGCGACGTGACACAATGGGAAGGGGGAGGATTGTCGTCAGTGAGAAGAAAACACCGTACATGGCTCGACAATCAGCGGCGTGGCGAGAGGACGACGCGGCTGGATTCGGGAGAAGCGATGGCCACTGCTTTGCATCTCCTGCAACCGAGAACAGAATTCACAAAACAAAAAAATGAGAAATTGCGCCCAGGCACACATGCACGCCCACCCACAGTAATACCAACACGAACACACACACAGAAGCACCAACAGACACAACACACGCACCACAATGTCAGCATGGGTGAGGCCCTGGAAAAGGGTGCCCTCGGCAACAGCGCGTCCATTCAGCGGCGTGACATCCGTGTCATCGCTCTCAACAAGCGTACCATCACCATCACCATCACCATCAGCACTGTGGTTGTCATCGTGATGCAGCGGAACTGTGTCTGTTGTTGCATCTGCATTCTCTGTCAAGTCCCTCCACGACACAATGCGCCTTGCGCCACCACTGCGACCAACGTCAGCACCAGTACCATCATCGTCACCATCGTCACCACCGTCACCACTGCCATCGCGGTGAGCACGCGCGCGGCCCTGTCGGGTGTAGGAGGACGTGAATGAGGACTGGCGTCTCAGAATCGGTCGCGAGGTGTCGCTGAGAGACGACGATGTAGAGTGCGCACGCGTCATCGCGTGTTCTTGCGTTGGTTGTTGTGTGTCCACCTGTTCACGCATGCGTGTCAGGGATCCGAGCGAAGACGAGCGTGCTGGCACATGTGCCTGTGTCGCCGATGATGCGTCTGTTCGTTCACGTGCTGCTGATGTTGACGTCACTGCGTTGTGCGCAATGTCACCAGCAGACAACGACCGTGAAGGCGGCTGTCGTCCTTGCTGCACTTGCCCTTGCTGTTCTTGTCCTTGCTCTTGCTGCACTTGTGGCTGCTGCTGCTGCTGCTGCTGCTGTTGCTGTTGCTGTGGTTGTCCTTGCTGTTCTTGTCCTTGCTCTTGCTGCTGCTGCTGTGGTTGTTGTTGCTGCTGTTGCTGTGGTTGTTGTTGTTGTTGTTGTTGCTGCTGTTGCTGTGGTTGTTGTTGTCGTTGCTGCTGTTGCTGTGGTTGTTGTTGTTGTTGTTGTTGTTGTTGTTGTTCCTGCTGCTGTTGCTGATGAGAGGTGGAATGTGAAGCGCCCACATCATGCGATACAGCAGACTCGGACCGGCGCAAATGCGACGATGAGGTTGTCGATGTTGTGGACGCCAGCGGTGCCGGTGGTGGCGGTGGGGATGACCGTGCGGATGAGGAGAGGTGTGAGTGCGCAGATTGGAAGGAATCCACGCTCACGGTGTCGGCATCAACGTCGTCAGCACTGGTGTTCAAAGGACGCCTGCCACCACTGACCTCAGCTTCCTCACCAACACCCACCTCGTCGCGTCCTGCACGATCAACATCACCATGATTACCACCGCTGCCAATGCCACCGTCAGACTGCGCAGACGTGCGCCTGCCACTGCTCACCAGAAGCTCGTCCTGTGCATCCATGAACGAGTCATCGCCACTGTCAGTGCTGTCAACGCGCCCGCTGCCGCTCAGCCCACCACCGCCACCACTACCGGAGAGAAGCTCATTCCACACGTCACGCTCACCACCAACGTTTGTGGTGGCGGCCTTACCGCATTCACTCCCATCACCAATGCCGTTCTCTTCACCATCTCCCTCATCAGACGCGTCGTCGGCATTGCTGCCAGCGCCCTCCGTGATGGTAGCGAGAGGCGCAGCAGCAAACGTGTCTGCACGGCGGCGGAGGAGGGAGCGTGAGTGCGGGCGTGACGATGGTGAGCGTGCGTGCGCCTGGCTGATGATGGATGATCGCCTGCTGCTGCCAAAGGGAAGCGACTCGTCTTCGCTCGTGGTGACAAACGTGCCGCCAACGCCGCTAAGCGCGCCAAACATGCTTTCCGTGCCGTCGCCCACGCTGCTGCCGCTCAGCGGCGCTGTTGCGGTTGTTGGCGTCGTGGTCATGGCGGTGGCAGGCCGGCGCACGTACGACGCTGCTGTTGCTGCTGGCGGAAGCGTCAAAGAGTCACCTGCATTTGGTGTGTTGGCATCTCCTTCGTTCTGAAATGCGTCGTTGATGCTTGCAGACAGGCTGGCAGGCTCCAGGCTCCCCGCCTTGCGTAGGCGCCGGCCTGTTGAGGGGGCAGCTGGCGCGGAGTGTGCAAGCAGGTCGAGCGTTGGCTTCTGCGAGCGGGATGTACCGAGCCACGCAGCGCGGTAGCCGGTGCCGGAAACGGATGTCGGTGGCAGATGCACGAGGCGCGAGCTCGCAGACGAAGGGCGCCTATATTCGTATGGAGTGTTAAAACGGGGGCGGGGGACGTTTAACCATGATGCATGAGCGAGTGCACGCAATAAGCCCAACAGAGGGTTTGCAAACAAGCACGGCATGAGCCGAAACACAGGCACACACACACACGCACACATCTACAAACGCACGCAATGCGCACACACACACACATCTACACGCGCACGCACGCATACACGCACACATCTACAAACGCACGCAACGCACACACACACACGCACACATCTACACACACGAACAAACACATACTCACGCACACATGCACACCTGTCGCTCGTGTGGTGGTGCGATGCAATCATCTCGCCGCTCCACTGGTTCGGGTCGTCGATGTCCACGCGTGTGAGGCGCGGCGTCCAGCGGTCATCAGCAACACCGACACTCGCATCACTCGTCGCCTTGCGCAGGCGGTGACGGGCATCACGCCCTCCACTGCCGAGGTCGCGGCTGTGTTGTCGTCCCACCGCTGCCCGTGCCGTTGCTGCGCGTCGCACAGGTGTACTACCGCCACCGCCAACGCCAACGCCGCCGTGGTTGATGCGGCGGTGGTGGTGGTGGCGTGGTTGGCTGCTACCGCTTGCCATGGCGGTGGCGGCTGCACGAAGCGGAAGAGTGGGCATGGACTTGAGTGCAGGCTTGTTCTTGTCGGTCCAAGCACCAAGCGCGGCTGCACTGGCTGTTGTTGCATGCGAGTTCTTGTCTGCATCCCTCTTTCGTCTCTTCTTCAGTTTCACTTTCTTGCCATCCAATGTCCTGCCGTCGATCTCGTCACCATCACCGCCATCATCGGCCACACCAATGCCACCACCAACGCCTTCGCCACCATCACCATCACCATCTTCATCACCACCACCCGCGCGGCGTGTGCGTTTGCGGTGTGAGGGCACGCGATGAAGGCGGCGGCGGTCAACGGAGCCATCACCACCATCAGCCAGCACCAGCCACTCCCGCCGCGTCCACACTGTTGGTATGCGCATGCACTGCCTGTCCATGCAGCGAAGAAACGCCAGCTGCTGCTTTGCTTCCTCTTGCCACTGCGCGCCTGCCTTGTCCAACACCACCACGTTGCACGCAGCCTTGACGAGCCCAACCTCACGCCACACCTCCTACGACCGAAGACGAAGGGCAGGGGGTGAGAGGATGGAGAGACGGACACAAGGAAGGCGTAGTGAGTGGGCATGGGTGTGCAGGCACGTGTGTATGCACGTACATGTGGATGTGTTTGCATATCAAGGAACAAACCACTTGCAAAGCTCACCTGTTTCTGATGCAGGTACTGGTGAGTGACGTCCGTCAGAGCACTGCGCTGCTGCTGCTGGTTGAGCTGCTGTTTGGACAGGGCGTCGCGAGCAAAGTGGTGCAGCACAACATCGCCCGTGCGAACGGACAGATACTGGCGGTGGCCATCTCTGTTTCCAGCGCAAGAGCAGTTGTTGTATTAGTGGTTGTGGTTGTTGCTGTTGTTGTTGTTGGGGTTGTTGGGACATGAGGAAACCAAGGCCACAACTGTCATAGAACGCAAACGCCGCGCACTCTCGACGGAAAACCACACATTCAAGGACACACATCATCATCACACACACACACACATCATCATCACCATCATCATCATCATCACACACACACACACATCATCACACACACATCATCATCATCACACACACACATCATCATCACACACACATCATCACACACACACACATCAATACAGTCCTGTCCCACCAATACAGTCCTATCCCTGTTCACCTGATGAGTGTGTCCATGGTGACATCGACACCGCGCGGGAGATGAAGACGCGTCAAATCTGTGCCGCCGTTGCGAACCAGCACCTCAAGGCCATCAAGGCGGATCTGTTGCGGCATTGGTGGATGAGTGAGTCCATGAGTGCATCAGTGTGAGCATGTGTGTGGGCATGTGTGCGTGAGGTGTGTTTGTGGAGCATATCACATGACCATGAAGCAATCAAAGGCGCCACGCCACTATCAACTTGCACGTATCGCATTGCACGAGCACGCGACCCGCGCTCACCCTGAGCGTCGCAAACGGCGTGCTGTGCTGTCCTGTCAACCACTGCTCAAGCTCAGCCAGCGTCTTCGCCTGAACCACACGTGCGCGTTCATCAGTATTTGGTGCAACAACACCATCGCCTGCAATTGCATTGCACACACACAGGCACCCGCGCGAAAGCACACACATGCGCGCGCACACACACGTGCACGCATCACGGCTTAGCTCACCCCGAGAGAGCGGGCGAGTGCGTCGTGGTAGTCGCTGTCGCGCTTGCTGTAACGCGTTGGCAAGCGTCCTTCCCCGTCATCAAAGTCATCGTCATCGTCCATCGTCATGCCCCGGGGTGTCGCAGCGCTGCATACGTGCAAGTGTGTGTACACGTGTGTGTGCGTGTGTGTACACGAGTGTACACGTGTGTGTGTGTGTGTGCGTGTGTGTACACGTGTGTGTGTGTGTGTGTGGGTGGGTGGGTGTGAGTAAAGGTGGTGATGAGGGAAGAGCGGAGGAGAAGAAGCAAACGCTGCTGTCAGTGTCAGGCACACAGCGGCAAAATGCAGCACTTTCCATCATTCTCACTTTGAACGCGACTTTGTTGTTGGAAACCGCAGAGTCGGTGGAAAGTGTTGCCAGAAAATACGACAGCAGGGAAGAATTGTAAGCGATGAATCGTGACAATCAGCAAATGCATTGCACACACATACGAGCGAGAGCTCGGCTACATCCACCAACAACAACGACAAGCACTGCCGGATGACGGTGCAACAACTCTAGCACACACACACACACACACACACACACACACACACACACACACACACACACACACACACACACACACACACACACACACACACACAAGAACACACACGCACACCACCACCACCACCACCACCACCACCACCACCACCACCTACCGCTGCGCTGGCTGGTGAGGTGATGCCACTGCCACGTCGCCAGGAGAGGGGCGACGACGAAGGCGAGAACAGAAACAGTTTCCGCTTTGGGCGTGGCACGTCCAGCGTGTTGGCGCGTGGTCGCCCTGGCGAAGTTGACGTCGTGTCACCAGCAGTGCCAGCAGCAGCTGTGGTCGTGGCGGCGGTGGACGCTGCGTCCGGTTCTGGCGATCGGCTGCCCCAACCACGCCCCATGCGCTGCACGGCAGGAGATGGAGTTATGGGGGACAAGGAAGCGGTTGGGAAGGGGAGTGTTGATTTGTGTGAGCTAAAGAAAAGGAAGGATCATCGCAGGTGGGATACACACGATGAAGGTGTGTACGATACACCCACACACGCGAACAGAAAAACGCACACTCGTTCGCACACACACACACACATACACACGCACATACCAGCAAACACACACACACACACACATACACACAACCGGCACCTTGAAGAGGGCTGTGATGTCTGGGATGGACGCGTTGGCGAGCAGTGACGATGACAGCCAGCGCCCGGGCTCCGATGCGACAGGTGCACCGGTGGCGCTGCTGGTGATGGTGTTGATCTGGTCTGAGGACATGGAGCGACGACGTTGGAGGGGGCGGAGTCGAAGAGGCGATGTTGGGCGACTGCTGGATGCTTGCTGTTGTTGTTGTTGCTGCTGTTGTTGTTGTTGCTGTGCGGGTGTGCTTGAAGCTGCTTGAGGGACATGTGGTGACATGGTTTGTGGGTGTGACGGTTTCTGATTGTCTTCTGTTTCAACTGTGACGATGCGGGGCGGGATGGATTTGGAGCGTACAGATGCAGACGCTGTTGACTGCGCAGTGGCTGGGCGTGAACGCTGCACATTTTCATCACCATCGTCATCGTCATCGTCATCATCATCATCATCATCATCATCATCATCATCATCATCATCATCATCATCATCATCATCATCATCATCATCATCATCATCATCATCATCATCATCATCATCATCATCATCATCATCGTGCACTTCAACAGAGACGGGGGCAGACGCGTTGTGGTGGCGAGAACCAGCCTGTGCAGCACGACTACTTGATTGGTCTTCCATTTCTTCACCAACACGGCCTTCACCACCACCATCATCATCCTCATCACCATCATCGTCATCGTCATCATTGCCACTGTCACCAAGTCCATCGTCATCATCACGGCCTTCACCACCACCCCGTGTAGCAGCGGCACTGCTCGTCAGGTACTTGTCAACGTCGCCTTGCGTTGCCTGCATGCTCAAGCGTTCGGCATGACGCTGACCTTGAGCGCCCTCACCGCCTTCGCTCTCTCGCGCTGGCAGCGGCTGCTGCCTTCGCAAGCCACCACCACCACCATCAGCACCAGGATCATCACCACCACCATCGCCAACAACAGCCGAAGCCCCAGACTGGTGGCTGGTGGAGTGTGCCACGGCCGAGAGAACAGGCTGCTTGATGCTGATCTTGAGATGCGAAGGCACGGGGAGGATGTTGTCAAGGTCACGAAGGTGAAACGCAAACACGCGCGCAAACGACGACAGCCGCTGTATATGTTCCGTTGCGAGCGACCCCACAGCAGGCGACACGCGCGTCTCCAAGTTCCAACAGTAGGTGGTGGTGGGTGCACCCTCAACTGCACGTGAAAGCAGCCAATATGCCTCCATGTTCACGATTGGGATACGCAGCCACCCAATGGCATTGTCACCGCTGCACGGCGCGTCTGGAGCCCGACTGCTGCTGTTGTTGGTGTCGTTGTTGCTGGTGATGCTGGTCGCGTTGTTGCTGGTGATGGTGCCAGTGGCGTCGTTGTTGTTGGCGGTGGTGTCGTTGTTGTTGGCGGTGGACACTTGTGCGGTTGTGAATGAGGCTGGTGAGTTGAAGAACGTGTCTGCATGTGATGCGGCAACCACGCCCACCTCTTTCAGCTGCGCTTCGAGCTGCATGCGCGTGGGTTGTGTGTGCAGGCCGACGTGCACGTCACGCGCGCACAGCACCATGTCGTCTGACGCAACATCATACAACAGGCTGGGCAGCGTAAACGCAATGCGTTTCACATCCACGGTCAACAGGAACTCAAATCCGGCCTTGGCACGTGCGGCATCGTATTGCTCTTGCATCTGGGGGATGTGCTGCATGTAACGCACGCAGCCCGTCGACGTGTCCGTGTTGTACGTCGTCACGTACATGGTGCGCCCAAAGTAGTTGCTGAACCAACTCAGCCACCTGAAGTGGTGTGTGTGTGTGTGTGTGTGTGTGCGTGTGCGTGTTTGTGTGTGTGCGTGTGTGTGCGTGTGTGTGTGTGTGTGTGTGTGTGTGTGTGTGTGTGTGTGTGTGTGTGTGTGTGTGTGTGTGTGTGTGAGGTGAGGTGAGGTGAAAATGAAACTCAACACGCATGCGCACCCGTGTGCAATTCCACACAACAAACAAACGACAAACCCCCTCCCCTCTCCCCGAACAGCGATACCACCAGTCAATCCTCTGTCGCCATTACCTGGGGATGAAATATCCTGTGAGCAGCCCGCGCAACTCATCGGCCTTAACGTCCACAAACGTTTTGTCCATGACAGTTGTGTCCAGCAACGAGACATCAGACACGGTGTGGAAGTACGTTCCGATCTGGAGGGACAGGTTGTGCAGCTGCCACATGCTCTTGCGCGCAACCTTTGCCGCGCTCGCTTGGATGGTGTTGGACTGTGGAAAGATGACTTGCGTCTGCATGCGCACATGATGTGCATGTGTGTTTGTGTGCATGTTTGTGTGTGTGTTTGTGTGTGTGTATGTGTGTATGTGTGAGCGAGAGACACACCTTGAACATGTGACTGCAAGCGTGCTGAACGTGAATACGCACATGCAAGTGCGAGTGGTCATCACATTCGGACGCACAACAAACCACCGCAGTTAGACCACGAGTGCATGGAGCATTCCCATCAGTCCCCATGCAGACAACCGCAGATAGCAGCGTCATCTTCGTCAATACCTTGAGGCATTCGCTGGTGATCTTGTAGATGACCTTTGTCACGTCCACTTTGAACTTGCGAAAGTCGAGCGAAAACTCGACGGCCCCACTACCCCCATGCATGTTCAGGAACGCATTTGCACGCGGTCGGTCGTGGGGCAGCCCATCCACGCGACCGGGATACAACAGCACATCGTTCAGAATGTTGTATCTGGAATGATGTGGCATGTCAGACGCAACGTGCGCGGTCACCAGTGCGTCGACCGTGAGGATTGGACACGCAATGGAAGCGGCATGAACAGACTCACGCAGACAAATCAAGGAAGTGGTGTAATCTGCTCACAGTCGCACGGGTTCACGCAAAAGCACACATAACAACACATTCAAGCACTCCTGGAAGCACATGCTCACACACACGCACACAGAGCACATACGCACACAGAGCACATACGCACTTGTTGACCATCCAGAGAACGTGAAAGTCCTTCAGATTGCCAACGATGTTGTACACGTATGGCAGATGGGAGGACTCTGCATCCGGAAGGGGCGTTCCCGCGAGACCGGCAACGAGGCCCTGGCATGCAAACACGCACGCGCGCGCGCACGAAGGGGGTGAGTAGGCTGAATGTCATCCCACAGAACGTGCATGAATACATACATACATACATACATACATACATACATACATACATACATACATACATACATACATACATACATACATACATACATACATACATACATACATACATACATACATACATACATACATACATACATACATACATACATACATACATACATACATACATACATACATACATACATACATACATACATACATACATACATACATACATACATACATACATACATACATACATACATACATACATACATACAT